GGCGAGGTTGTTTGGGTTTTTTTGGTCTGTTTGTTCGTTTTTGTAGATTGAAAAATGTAACTTTTAGGCTCATATTACATATATCGGAAACAATGGCTGGGTCTTATTAGAGTATTGGAGATGAACGTTCAAATTGTTGTCGGGCCTATTTGAGATAACTTTACGTTGTTGAAAGAGGTGTTAAAGCCACTCCTTACCCCACAGACACAGAGCTAGGAACCTAACCATTATACTACAGATGATGGTTAAAAACAATTATATAACATGTACAATAATAAAAGAAAAAACCGAGTTATTGTGTAATTTTAACCAAAAAATGGGACACATAAACACACAAAGAATGTATAAAAACGCGTAACAAATTATGTAAGGGTGCGAATAATTTTCTTTCCAAGTCGGTTACGGACAAAACACAAAAGAGGTGTGATTTTAAGAAGGGGGAAAAAAGCAAAAGCAACTATAATAGAAACAGCAGAATTCGTAATCTTGAGCTTGATTTCACCGGTGCAGAACCAAGGGAGCTGTTTATCGTTGTTGTTGCCTTGGACTGTCCCCGCGGTTTTATGCACCCCACATAATTTAGCAAACTGTGATCATTTATTTTTTTTTTGTGCGTGCATAATTTCTGATTATTTTCCTTCATCATTCTTTGTTAAAATTAACAGAATCGCATAATTTCACATTTTTAGGCTCAGTTTGCATAATTTCAGAATTTTTTGTTTGTTTGCATAAAACCACAGGGACAGCTTGGATCGAGTGTCACCCCTTCCTTCAGCACCGCCTCTTTGTCGTTCTGGGAGGTATTCTCCACAGCTCTTTAACCAGCGGACGGGAACACTTTAAAATTGTCCAAGTTCTTTTTCAGGTCCTCGAATTTAGTCCGAGCCGTGAAGTCACCGCCAATCACAAAGTCCAGCTGAAATAATGTCGATGTCATAACATGTTATTTCGGTGTTTCTCGGGTGTGTTTCCATTTTGTTTTGCTTCGTTTTTGTTTTTGTTTAAGGTTGGTTTATTAGGAGGTTGGGAGGGGGAGGGGGAGGGGGGTAGGCCAATGTTTGTCATGGTTGACTGTCTTTTTAATCATAAAAATCATGGTTGACTGTCTTTTTAATCATAAAAATAAATACATTTCAGTTGCTTATTCAGTGTTTCTAATCACAAAAAACGAATACCTTACAGTTGCTCATTTGGTCGGCAGCGAGGAAAGAAAAGAAAAACAAAGGAAGAAACACAAGACTGACTACAGAATTAGTGGACACGATCTGCTGGCACAAAGGTGGGGGATTCTCCATCGACAAAAATTAATATAGAAGAAGAAGAAGAAGAAGAAGAAGAAGAAGAAGAAGAAGAAGAAGAAGAAGAAGAAGAAGAAGAAGAAGAAGAAGAAGAAGAAGAAGAAGAAGA